CAATGATAAATTCCATTACTACACTGGAAATGCCAGCTGTTAAGAATAGTCTATGACTGTGGGAGGCACTGTAAAAGGTGGGCTGGACTATGATACCCTCCTGCCTCCTCCACCGCAGCAAAAATGAGGGGATGGCAGGTTTCTACCTTTCCTATCTACAGTACATGTCCTCATTCCACTCCATGCAGCTTGAGCCTTAGGGCAAGCCAGGGTTTTGCAGCCATTTACTACAATAATAGCAAGACAATTTAGCAGTAATGGATAAGTAGGGAGCAAATTAAGTCGTTTGCTGAGATACAGAAATGAAGCCAGAAAATATTTGGCCTCATGTTAGGCCTCAAATTCATAGTCAATTCATTAGTGTAATTTGGTTCTTGCATAAGCCTTTGAGTGATAAATTTGACTAATACATTTGAAATGGCAGCTGTAAGAATAACTCTTGAGTGTTGAGTAAAATAAAAGATCGGCAAGAATAAATCGTTCATTTTCATCTCATATGGGAAGATTGATGAAGGCCTTTGAGAAGAGGCATCTGTCTGCTAGTTGTAAATTGAGAGTATTAAGGGAAAACATCGGGATACTTTGGTTACATTAGGGAGAGGAATGTATTAACTCAAATGCTTTTGAGATCTTTCCCTTTGGGGCTGAAGATTACTCTTGATGAAGAACATGTGAACTTTTAGAATTTAATTCTTGATTGGGAACTAAGGCCACAGCACAAACAATATTAAATGGTTGGCATTTGGGGGAGTAGTTTCTAAGAAACACAATTATATGTGGGATGTTGGTGATTTTTTTCATATGGATATGGTTTTCTCTATGGTTGTAGTATTCTATTTCAAGCCCATAGAGGCTGCAAATCAGAGGACTTAGAACAGAGACAGGGAATGTAACCAATATTTTACATGTAACCAAAGTAACAGAGGCAGAGAATGTAACCAATATTTTACTTCCTTAGCAAAATAAAAAATTCAGTCCATTTCACCAGTTAGTTTCTCTTGCTGGTGTCTTAAAATTGGATACCTTTATAATAAAATTAATTGATTGTTTATCATTCACCTCCAAAAAAAAGTAGAGGGAAAGGAAATAAATTTTCTTAAGCAACTATTATGTGCAACCTGCTTTATGTAAATTAGGTCTATATAAAAATTGTCCCCCCAAAACATTCCTCATTCCAGTATGAATGTGTCTACTCCATATTATATATCCTTTCATCCTCTAGCTGCCTGGATCAGTAAATAAAACTGAAGTAGTATAATTTATAAGTAGCACTGTTGGAACTCTGATCCCTATGGAGGCTGTAATCTGTTCCTCCTCCCACCCCCCATAATAGCATTTGTGTATATTAAGCTGAAGAATTAAATGTTTAAAAGGTTTACATGTTGAAGGCATTCACTATACATAAGTGTTCTACCTTATTATGAAGTGTTTTCAGAAAGTTAAAAAAATATATTTATGAACCATGGATTCTCAATTTATAGAAAAGGAAACTGCAGTTTCAAAGGAATAAAGTAACCTCCTGGAGGACAAGAGCTTATCAGCAGTAAAACTGGGATGGAAACCAAGTATGCCCGAGTCCACAGAGTCAGCTGCAGGCACAGGTTTGCTGGCAGGGGTGAGCCTACGGGATTCGCGGTAAAGCCGATCCGTGGTAACAGCTTCTGGAAGAGTGCAGTGTCTACACTGATCAACCCCACACCGGGTCCTCTGATTCTTTTCTCTTTGTCAAGGGGCTAGGTTGACTAATACAGTGTTCTTAACTCATCTACCCTGAATTGTCATCTCTGGCTAGAGATCCTAGGACTAACCCCCACCCTGCCACCCCCCACCCCCATCTATCTTCAACTCTGTTTCAGCTTACAGGAAGGATGTGATATGCTGCCCAGTCCAGGCTTAGGCCCAGACAACTGGGCCCCTACTCAGAGGCCTAGGCTTTCTTGGGCACCATTCTGGCTCTCCTCTAGCTTGTCTCTGCCTACTGAGGTTGCCAGATTTAGCCATTAAAAATGTAAGATAACCAGTTCAGTTCTAATTTCAGATAAGCAATGAACAGTTTTTTAGTAAAAATATGGCCCATACAGTATTTGGGACATTTTATCACATTAAAATATTGTTCACTGTTTATCTAAGATTCAGATTTAATGATGTGTCCTTTATCTTGCCTGGTAGCCGTGCTCCCTATGAGCCAGAAATGTGGGGCTTTGTAATAAAGAATCAATGTTATCCAAAGAAATATTTGACCTTTGGACTGGTCACTGCTTATGTGGGGGCCCTAAACTGTACTGGACAGTCTAACATTGTGATTTTACCAAGGACTGTGGGCCACAGGGTATCTGCTTCACCTCCAGAGGAATGGACACTCAAGGGATTAGCTTGGCCTCTTGAGACTTAAGGAACTTGAAACTAACTCAGTCGTGTAGGAAGTCAACAATAAATGTGACTGGATCCCAGTAATAACTCTGGACACCAGGGCTTGGATGGCGTCATCCTGTGCATTTGCCACATGTCAGTACTGAGAGGAGTTAATACGGCCCATGACTCTTGGGGAAGGAAACAACTGGAAGCTCCACATTTGCAACTCTGCTGGGCCCTGCCCCATGCCTCTCTTCACTTAGCTGACTAATCTGCACCCCTGTCTCTTTAATGAACCATAACAGCTTTCAGGGGCTCCTGGGAGGCCTTCTAGTGAGTTATCAGACCTGAGGATACACTGGGAACCCATCAACTTGCAGTTGGTGTAATAGGTCAAGTCAGCCACCTGGACTGTGCCCTTCCTAAATTCTCAGGGTCAAAGGGATATGCCCACCCAACCCCTCTTCTAGAATCTAGAATCTAAACCATGCTCCAAGCACTGGGAGTCTGGAATTCTCTGTGCAAAAGGCTCTGAGCATGTTTCCAGAGCGTGTGAGCCTCTTTCATGCCACTGATGTAACACACTTAGACTAGAGGGGTGGCTAAGGGGTGACTATTGGGGTCAAGGGGATGTAGTTTGCACATACAGGCCTGTTTGTCCATAACCAGGCATGTGAAGGCTTTTCCTTTACAGTACTGAACTAGAGTGAGAAGAGGTAGGAGGGTGGTTCTTCTTGAGCAAAGAACAATTCCTTTCTCATCTCCAGTCCCTGACTTGGGAAAGGCAAACTAACATTTGGAGTATCTTAGATTCTAAGAAGCTGTCCATTATAAAACCTACCTCTGAATAAACAGCACCTTTAGGTGGTGGGGGAAGAAATATGTCACCAAAGTTAATGCATTTATTAGCTGTAAGATGCATTTTGTGTTCTGAAATTTTAAAATATGAAAAATACTTTAAAGTTGGAAAAATATGGTATGTATAATATTATCATAGTATAGCAGTTGAGGGTTTTAAAAGCTTTCTACAACTTTTATCTCATTTGCTCTTCATGACGACTCTTGCAGTGGCAGCCAGAGCACCATGATACCCCCATCTCCTCTGAGGGCACTGGCCCCAGGGTTCCCCTCTTTCACCCCTCCCCTCCATTCCAGTTATTATAACCCATCTGTGACCTGAGAAACCCCACTACCAGCACAGCCTGAACCTGTACGTCTCCTCATTTCTGTGTCCATGTTTGGCAGGAAGAGGGCCTGTCACAGGGAGAGGGATAGGATTGGTCTGGAGGAAGGGGAAAGGAAGGAAGAATTAGCTGCTACCCTGGGGACAGAGCTGTGACCCTGCCTTCTTTTTGGTTGACTTTCTGGTCTGGAGAGCAACAAGTCTGAAAGGGAGAACCAAGACCCCACCCCCACCAAGCCTGGAGGGAAAAGGATGGGTCTTGGACTTGGAGAGATGTGCACAGAATTTTGGACAAGCCACTTTACTCCCCGAACCACGGTTGCCTCATCTCCAGCATAGGACTCAGGATTCCTACTTCATAGGGTTGCTGGGCTAATGAGACGATATGTGTAAAGGGCTCTGCTCAGTATGTGGTGCACAAGCTCATTAATTTTACCTGTTATAATAAGTTTGAGCCTAGTAGAGATCCTAGCATAGCAGACGCTCAATCAGCCAATGGCAGCTCTAATTATGATTATTGCCAACTCTTCCTCAGAGGTAGCTCTAAGGCAGAGTCCTTCTCAGTGTCACTTAGAGGACAGAGAAAATGCAAAGAGGATGGATGAGTCAGAGGCAATGCAGACACAGACACTTCAGCATAAGCGGAGCCCAGGGTTCTTTCTAGGGAAGAAAGAGAAAGTGGTGGATCTTTCTGGCTGTGCCCAGCACAGGTAGAGGGGAAACCCAGAGAATATACAAGGCCTGGCTCCATTTATAAACCCACAATTAGAAAGACTGTGTGTATCAAGTGACTTGTTGAGACTGTTGTGTCTCCCTGCTTTCTGGGCCCTTCCTTCTGCTTTCTCTTGTGGTGGCAATAGAAGCTCTCAGCAAACCACAGAAGGGCCCTGTATCCTCTTCACAGAATGGAGTGGAGGAAGAGGCAGTCTCTGCCTGGGCCCTGAGAAGGAGGGTAGGGATCTGAAATCCTGAAGAGAGGGGGGGCAAGTGAGAAAGGAAAGGGGTAACCCAGAAGTCACCCTTACCTGAGAAGGGTCTCATGAAACAGGCATACTTGGACCCGAGGCTCCGAAGATTCTCAGTGGCTAGTGTCACTGAGAATGAAAAACCAGAGGAAGCACAATGGGGAGGATGGGAAGATGAGGGGAACCTGGAGTGTATGCTGCCAGGATCCCTTCTGCCGGGGTCTGAGAGGGAAGAGAAATGACAGGAGCATGCTAAGTAGAGTCTGAAATATTTCCCTCAAATCACTAGTGGTGAGCCGTGCTGGCTGGAGTCTGTGCACTTCCCATGAAGGAAGCCTGTACTGTTTCTGGGGGAGAACGTTTTCTGACTCCTCCATTCCCTCATTCCCCCACTGATCAATAAATGAATTTCTGGAATGCAAACCCTGCCCTGAAAGGTGATGGTTAATTCTGCCCACCTGAGTAGAGAAAGATGGCTGGTGTCCATTGTTTTGTTTCAGGCACAAAACTGATTGAGTCCTTGGAACCAGATCAAAGGACCTCCACAGGAATGCTGTGCTGAGAAGGCGGCTGACCTGGAGCACGCAGTGGCCCTGGGAACACTCTGTTTTCAGCTGGACGGACCTTGAAGCATATCTGCTCCAACATTCTCATCTTAGTGTCTCTCATATTCATGCCTTCCTCCCGTTTGCTCTGAAGGTCCCCTTCTTCCCTGCGCCCAGGGAAATAGTGGGAATATCCACCCTCTTTCCAGGGAAAAACTTACCTCTTCCATAAGGCCTCACAGATTTTCTTCTACTCTGAACTCCCACAGCAAATTGGCGTCTATATTCTAGGGTCTAATTTATTTTATTTCATTTTTCTACAAAATATGTATCAGTGTTTTATGCAGTTGAATATTATTTTTCAAATGATACTATCAGGTTTTTTAAAGGACTGTCTCATGCCTCTGTACCTCACAGAGCACTTTTCAGTTCTGAGGCTCAAGAATGTCCTTGGCAGTGTCTGCTTTGCTCACATGTTTTCAGATAGTAATGACTGCCACCTGATTAATCTTTAACTACTGTCAAGTCCCTCATCACTGCACACAACCCTACTGTCACCCCGCCATATCACCACTGCAACTAGAAATTTTGTATAACAGTTCAGAGTTTACTAAGGGTTTTCACATACAGTATTTTATTTTATAGTTACAACCAACTTGTAAGTTAGACATTATCTATTATCCCACTTTACAGATGTTAAAATGGAGGATTAAAGGGTTACTTTCCTGTGTGACAGAGCACAAGTCAAAATCTTTTCAGGAGCTCCATGAAAACACATCTCTGTCTATTTGTGAGCATGAAACAATGAGACTGTTCTCAAACAAACACTCAGAAATGTTGTTCTAAGTATGTACTAAAGATCCCCAAATTTTAGTAGCATAAAACACAACCATTTTCTTATGGTCTCAATTATATTGGTCAGGAATATGGACAGGGCACAGTGGAGTGGCTTATCTGTGTGCCATGATGTGATGCCTGGGCTGTACCTGGGTGGATCACATGCCTGAGGCCATATGTCTGGGGTCTTGGTCTTTTACACATGGCATCTCTTGGGACTAGAATGTCTAAGACAATCCTTTCACTAACATGTGTCTGGCACCCAGGGAGGGTGGCCAGAACAGCTGGGTGTGGTTTATCCCCATCACTCTCTCCCCGTGTGGCCATCGTGGGCGTTTTCAGAGCATGGAGGTCTTGGGTAGTCCAGTCTGTTACACACTGGCTGGCTTTCCCGGAAGCAGGCAGTCCAAGCCACTAAGATGGAGCTGCATGATTTCCCATGACCTAGATGCAGTCATTTCTAACACATTCCTCTGGTTATACGTGGCCAGCCCAGATCAGTGTGGGAATGAACAATCCAATGGTGTGAACTGGGAAGATATGGTTCACCAGGGAGATATATGCAGAAATTAGTTACCATAGTTAAAAAAAAATTTTTTTAATCACAAATCATACATGTGTAGGCAGTCCTTTTGTCTTTGCTCAAAATGTTCCTGGAAAAGAATGAAGAATGTCAAAAAACAGACCTCTTGGGCAGCAGTTTAAGTCAGAGTCTGTACTTCATACCTGCAATTGTCCCTTTATATCACCAGGCAGTAAAGTAGAATCAGTAAGGCAAAAATGTTTCACTTGGTCCTGATAGTCATAGAAATTGCAGAATCAGCTGACTAAGGTAGCAAAAAGCAGCATCAGTGTCCATGTGGCTAAATTTTTTTTCTAAGTATTTTTATTAAATTATAAAAGCAACACAGAGTAGAAAGAACCATTTGAGTTTCTTTCCTTGAAAGTTTGTATTTAACATTTGAAAGCATACTAGGGTACCTAGGGCACTCTGTTTTTCCTTCATAAATTAAAATGAGTTTTGAGGAGGTGATTGGCATGCTAGGAAAAATAATGACTGTCAGTTTGTTACAACTATTTACTGAGCAGTTATTAGAAGCCAAGTACAGTGGCAGCCATCAGATACAGAGAGCAAGTCAGATAAGGTCTTTTCCCTCACAGAGCTTATAATCTAGTGACAAGAACAAAACAAGTAATTAAAATACAGTATCAAACATTTTATGACCAAACAAGTAGAGGGAGATGTCAGGATATAAAGGAGGGACCTGTAGCCCAGACTCAGTTTGTGTTAGAAAGTATATAATACACATTAGAGAGAGAATCATTTTTAAAAATCCTTACTTGAAAAACATTGTGGTAAAATAAACATAAAAGTCACCATTTTAATAATTTTTAAATATGGAATTAAGTTGTATTAAGTATATTCACAATGTCGTTCAATGATCACTACTATCTATTTCCAGAACTTTTTCATCATCCCAAACAGAAACTCTGTATTCACTAAATATAACTCCATTCCTCTCTCCTCCCATATCCTGGTAATTTGTATTCTGCTTTATGTCTATAAATTTCCTTACTCTAGATACCTCATATAAGTAGAATCACACAACATTTATTTTTTTGTATGTTTAGCTTATTTTACTTAGCGGAATGTTTTCAAGGGTCACCTATGTTGTAGCATGCATCAGCATTTCCTCCCTTTTTATGACTGATTGAATAATATTCCTCTGTGTGTATGCATGCTAGCATGTGTGATGTTTTGTTTACCCATTTATCCATTCATCTGTTAATGGATATGGACATTTGGGTTGTTTCCACATTTTGGCTATTGTGAGTAATACTGCTATGAATATTTAGGTATAGGTGTCTGAGTCCCTGTTAGAATTCCTTTGGGTATATACCGAGATATGGAATTGCAAGATCACATGGTAATTGTTACTTTTTTTTTGAGGAATCACCATACTATTTTTCATAGTGGCTGCATCATTTTATATTCCCACTAGTAATGCACAAAGGTTACAATTTCTCCCATCCTTGACAGCTCTTGTTATTTTCATTTTTTTGACAATAGCCATTCTAAACAGTGTAAAGGGCTATCTCATTGTACTTTTGATTTGTATTTACCTAATTACTAATGATGCAGAGTATGTTTTCATGTGCTTATTTTACATTTGTATATCTTTTATGGACAAATATCTGTTCAAGGCCTTGGCACACTTTTGAATTGGGTTGTTTTTGTGGTTCTTTATATAAACTAGATATTAAGCCTTTATCAGATATATGATATGCAAATATTTTCCCTCAGTCTTTAGGTTGTCTTTTTCACTCTCTTGATAGTGTCCTTGATGCACAAAAATATTTAATTTTGTCTATTGTTTCTTTTGTTGCCTGTGCTTTTGGTGTCATATCCATGAAATTATTGTCAAATCAAAGGTTGTGAAGATTTCCCTCTAAGTTTTCTTCTAAGAGCTTTATAGTTTCAATCATTGTGTTGAGATCATTGATCTACTTTGAATTATATTTTGTATGTGGTGAAAGGTAAGGGTGCGACTTCATTCTTTTGCATGTGGATATCCAATTTTCCTACGACGCTTTGTTGAAAAAGACTGTCCTTTCCCCATTGAATGATCTTGAATGTCACTGAATATCAAAAATCAATTGACCTATATGTGAAGGTTTAATTCTGGACTATTTACTTTATTACACTGGTCTACAAGTCTGCCCTTATGACAGTACCACACTGTTTTGCCTAATTACAGATTTATAACAAGTTTTAAAATAAAAAAGTTTGAGTCCTCTAACTTTGTTCTTCTTTTTCAAGATTTTTTGGCTTTTCTGGGCAACCTGAGATTCCATATGAATTTTAGGATGAGGTTTTTCTATTTCTACAAAAAACATTATTGGGATTTAGCTAGAGTTTGCATTGAATCTATAGATTTCTTTGGGCATTATTGTCATTTTAACAATATTAAGTGTTCTAATCCATACACACAGGATATCTTTTCACTTATTTATGTCTTTAATTTCTTTCAGCCAATTTTATGGTTTTCAGTGTACAAAAAGAACCAGGGTATACCAGGGTATCTACTACTATTGTCAGACAAAATAGATTTTAAGAAAGAAAGTTTAATGGCTCTTTTTGTTACTATTTGCAGGGAATATCTTCTCCTATCTTTTCATTTTAAACCTATTTGTGTCTTTAGATCTAAACAAGTCTCTTATAGGCAGCACATAATTGGATTATGTTTTTAATCCATCCTTCCAATTTCACTTTCTCTGGAGAGTTTAATCCACTAACACCTATAGTAATTACTGATAGGAAAGGAATTATTATTGTTACTTTATTATTTGTTTTCTGTATGCGTTATGGTCCTTTCTTCCTTTCATTTCCGCCACTACTGCCTTCCATTGTGTTTAGTTGATGTTTTGTAGTGACACACTTTGATTCCTTCCTCATTTCTATTTGTGTACATCCTATAGATGTTTTCATTGTAGTTATGGGATTATATATATATAAATTCCTAAATTACAATAATCTAATTTAAATTGAGACCAGCTTAACTTTAATTGCATACCAAACTGTATTTATATACAATTCATCCCCCTGCATATGTTACGGATGTCACAAATTACATCTTTATGCAGTTCTTTGTCCAATAACATAGATTCATAATTGTTTTAGGCATTTATCTTTAAGTTGAGTAGAAAATAAAGAGCAAAGTTATAAAATAAAATTACAATAATACTGGCTTCAATATTTTCCCATGTATTTACCTTTTAATATAGTAGATCTTGTATTTATTTAAATACTGGAGATATTTATTTCTTCATATGACTTCCAGTTACTGTCATTTGCCAGAAAACATTTCTTACAAGACAGCTAATGAAGTCCCTCAGCTTTTTCTTCTCTGGAGATGTCTTAATTTCTTACTCATCTTGATGGATAGTTTTGCTAGATACAGAGTTCTTCATGGACTGTTTTTCTTTTAGCACTTTAAATATATCATCCCCCTGCCTTATAGACTCAAAGATTTCTGATGAGAAATGAATTGATAATCTTACTGAGAGTCTCTTTTATGCAATGAGTTGCTTCTCTCTTTCTGCTTTTAGGATTCTCTCTTTGCTGTTGGTTTTGAAAGGTTGTCTACAATTGTTTCATAATAGATCTCTAAGTTTATCATACTTGGAATTCATTGAGCTTCTTGGATTTATGGATTCATGTCTATCATCCAAGTTGGTTAGTTTTTGCCCATTAGTTCTTCAAATATTCATTCTGCTTTCTTCTCTCTCTTCTCCTTCTAAGACTCACATAATATGTATGTTGGACCACTTGATGTCCTTCAAGTTCCTTAGGCTCTGTTCACTTTTTAAAATTCTTTTTCTTTCTGTTTCTCAGATG